GCACTATAATGAAAATGTGATTTCCTTTTTTTCACTCAGCATATAGGTGCCGTTCGGCTGGCTGGTTTTTAGAGCAGCCGGCTGGTTTCTCCTCACAGCGGCACTATTCATCAACCAGCCGCTGCAGTATTTCTTTCTCACGCAACCAGTCGCTACAGTGTTTTGTCTTCTTTTTTTTCAGACAAGCGAACGGGGCCATAGCGGTAAACATTTTTTTCAATATCATTTGTGCACACAATTCAGTTAAAGAGCTGGACAAGTTTCCCACGACTCAACATTCCCCACTAGCTGACTGAACACAATAGGAGGCACTGACCACTGAGGCAGTGATCTAGTGATCTAGGGGCAATCAGGAGCCAGGACGATGTACTTCCTTGTTTCTCATAGTAAATGAGTTAAACTTTCACAGAGCTCTGGCCCAGCCTCCGCTACTTACCATGAAATGTAATGAAACAAACAATACAGATCCCCCTGAACCTAATGATGTTTTGGTAAGTGCAACTAAGAGCACCACCATTACTGAACACCACTCCACCGAGCCCAATCCACGAACTGCATTCCACCGTAAATATTGTTGGCAAAACGAACACCAACTGTGAAAGCCATAGCAACAGGGGGAACACGCCTTGCGACGGGCGATGCCTCCACTACCCGCTCCAGGCCATTGATGATCTGGTAGCGTGTGTTAGATGATACAGCGAGGAACACACCTACATGTCAACATAGTTTGTCAGTTCTCAGTTAAATTGGACGAACCCAACAAGAGAAACTATACCTTAGATGAGCACACAAATCACAAGGCACGCTGCATAAAATTGCACAAGCTCAGCATGAACCAAAATGGGAAATTTTTAACATGAACTTTCGTCATCTGAGATTATCTGGTCCAAGATAGTTATGTGAATATTGAATAAAACGTAGTTAAAAATTAAAAGATTAGCCAAGTGCAAGCCATTCAACATTCAGATATGCTTTGCTGTACATTAACTTCAGGATGCCATTTCAGTAGACAACAAACCATACTTGCTATTTGGTAGCAGCCTAGACACTTGGGAGATGTAGTGGTTTAATCTGCCTGAGGTCCACCTTTCCCTCTTCAAAGTTCTTTCACTGTATCTAGAGTTGCAATTTTTGTGGATCCAAGAATTGATTTAAAGGAACTAAATCTATACGGTGAAGAAAAAGGGACACTGATACTCTACCAAGAGAACTAATTAAAGATTGATACGCTGACTTCTAATACCTTTGGCCAAGTCATGTTATTAGCAGTTAGTTTATTAATCTTTAATTCTATTGTTAGAGTATTAGTGTCCCTTTTTCTTGACTGTCTGGGTTTTGATACCTTTGAATGAACTATTGGATCATCAAAAGTTCAACTCCATATATAAGATCAGTGAAAAGAACCTTCAAGCGAGCATGGTGGACCTCAGGCAGCACTACCACTACATCTCCCAACAGTCTCGGCAGCTAACTTAGTCGCTTCCTATGTCGGAGATGTGATTTTTTCATTAGTACTTAGAATTGATTCACCATTTGAATATGATATGATGTAGAAAAATCATCAGGTGAATTTATCAGTGGAATGTCAAATAGCCAAAAATCAATCTCAGACCAAGTAAAAGTGATAACGAAGGGGAAACAGATAATAAGCTTACCCCACAGAGCTGCACTTTTAATAAGCGGTGGAACAGGAATATCTTCATCTGATTTTTTTACACTCCTGGACAAGGAACGAACATCAGTACACAAGACAAGACAAGACAGCAGGGAAAAAATAGACAAAGATATTAATCAACATTACTGAGCATGAGTGAAACACATAGACATGATAATAATAAGAAACCTATAAATCTATGTGCAAAATAATACAACATTGTGATAGGATCAACAAGAAACCAAACTGGGAAGCAAGCAACTATGAACTTGGTCATTTATTATGTAATAGCAAAAAGAGATTTTGATGTGCAGATGCACGAATAATGGTACGCTGTTACCTTTTGGCAGTCATTATCATATTAGCAATTCCTTGACCAATTATGCCACAGACAAATCCAACTGAACCATACAACACACCCTGCAATTTAAACGGTTATGCCAGTACAATTTGTACAAACATCATGGCAATGCTCCTGTAGTTCGAACTAACAATCATACATGGCTCAAAATTGGGAGTATCTTTGCCACGTAAGGTTCATTACCTTGTAAAAGTATGTTCCGATTCTTTGCTGGACTGTAAATCTGCAGCCTGGTCTTTCAGCTTCAAAAACACTGCGGTTTTAAAATCTTAGTGTCATACAGAAATAGATTTTTTTTAATTCAAAGCTCTATTGCTAGTTTAGCAACATCTCCGTTCTCTTTCAATTTCATAGATGAAAAAATGGTCATGCGAGTGATATATACAAGTTAAACAGACTTTCAAATTCAATTATTTTTCATGATGTGGTACAAATCTCCATAGACAAGAACTGGAAATGAAATTTCACCTGCTTGGCAAAGATCCAGCCATCCTGCTGAATCTTCCAAAGAGCCCCGTTGAAGCAGATGGCTTCCCAATTCTCACATATGGAGCCAGCAGCCCCACAAGTGCAATATCAACTGCTACACCAACAAGAAGGTCAGCAGCGTACAGTTCAAACTCCGCCCAGAAATCCTTTCCCCTCTTCTGCGCCTCTGCAAATGTCGCGCAGCAAGAGTCGATCACAATCTGCATTCAACCCATAACGCAATTGTTAGTAACAGCAGAACTACTATCTTCTGACCACTTGAAAAAATAACTGACCAATCGCACCCACCTCGGTGCCAACTTTGAAGAGGAACGACGGGTCGGCGAGCATCCGGTTGCGGAGCATCGAGAAGGCGCGGATCATCGCGCCTAGCGGCCACGGTGCGGCCTACGCAGATCAACATCAAAGGAATGAGGAAAAACGGCCACGTTCACATCTTCCAGACAAATTCCCGGAAATTCGAGGACCTGCAGATCGAAGTAGCGGAGCAAGAGGACTTCCCGGATGCCGGCGTCCTTGGCCGCCATCATGTCGCCCGGGAGCGCAACGCCGCGCGCCGCGGCGAGGCGCAGCACCTCATCGAAGCCGAGCAGCGGGCCGAACTCCGCCTCCTCGTAGTCGTCGTCATCCTCGCCACCCCCGCCGCCGCCTCCATCCTTGCCTCCATTTCCGCCGGAGTCATCCCCGCGGTTCCCGGTGCCCGATCCGTCCACGGCGGCGGCGCGAGGGATGTGCGGCGCGGAGCAGGAGAGCGCATGCGGTTTGGGGAGCGGGGAGACGGGCTTGAGCGAGAGGTGGAGAGGCCTTGGCTCGTTAAAACCGTTGGAAGAAGGCCTGGAGGTGTAGGAGGAGGAGGCGGCGGCGGCGACGGACGAGGAGGAAGCGAGTGCGGAGAGGGAAGGGGAGGTGGCGAAGGCCATAGTGGACAGACGGCGGCAGTGCGCGGAAGGGCTGTAGGTTTTTGAGTTTTGACTGTCCTAGCCCTTTTTGCTATTTCTTCCGTTTTCCGTTTTCCTTTGATGTTCTTGGCCTCGTGTCACATGAGCTGCGTTACGTTTGTCGGATTCGATAGCGATTTGTGCTTGACTGGTTTTAATCGGTAAAGATAGCGATTTGTGCAACATGACCGGTGCTAATCAGTAAAGAGAATACTTCCCTCAGTTTTTTTTTTAAATTATGACCATTAATTTTTTTTTAAATTATATAAGTTAACAACATAAGACTTATGTTTTAGATTCTCTATGAAAAATACTTTTATAATATAATATAGTTTATATGTTGTGAAAACATCTGGATTTTTAAACTGATAGTTAAAGTTAGAAATATTTGTCTTAGAAGTCAGGACAAACCTAATACGATATATAAATACAAATAGAGCGGATATGAGATAGACCTAAGTAAAAAAATACAGAGATACTATAGTGTAACAAAATAATATAAAGAGATATTCCTACTATATATTCAATTGGGTCATCATCAAACGCACTCTTTATTTTTCTTTCTTTCTTTCTTATATAAAAATATTAAGTTTATCACTTTAGATTTTACATCTAATGATCTAACACATCTTGTTAATGATTATTTAGCTCTCTTTTTTTGTGTCATTACGAAAGATGCTCTAAGTCTATAGAGCGCTACAAAAGTTCAAGCGTTCTCGGTGTCATGACTCTTTATTTTTTTTTTCCAAACCATTCCGTCCACTTTTGCCTCTAATGCTATCAAGAAGGTGAAAAAAGTCCAAAATACCCTCGTGTCCCCATCGTCGTGTTCCTCAACTACCTCCACTTCGGCGGTGGGCTCGCTCGCGGTGGCGACGGTGAGGCCTGACGGGGAGCTCTAGAAGCAGCAGGACTGCGCGTCCTCCACCTCGCCGCCTCCATTACCGCCTCACCGGCGTTGAGCTGCGCCACCCCGTCCCGAGCCCCGGCGGACAGCGCGCCACAACCCGGAGTTCCGCGCCTGCGCTGCGAGCGTCCTCCGCAGCCACGGCCGTCTCCACCGTGGCCGTGCTGCTCTCGCGGGCTCGGGCTCCAGCGAACGCCCGCGGGCTCGGGCAGCCCGCCGTGCGGCGCTCGACAGAGGCCGGAGGGCACGACGGCTCTCCTAGCCTAGATCCCGGCGGGCGGCAGGTGGCTTCCCCAGGCGCTGCCTCCTGCTTGGCGAAGGGAAGCACGGCGACGGCGAGGAGGTCGCGGAGCTCGCGAGCGTTCCCTGCGAGCTCTGCTCGCCGGCGGCAGGGCGCGCGGGGGCGCAGCCATTGGCGGGTCACGCGGGGCGCGCGTCCGGTGGCGGGTCGCGGCCGCCGCCGCGCGCTCCTTGTTCCTTGCGGTGGCGTGCTCGATGGCGTCCGTGGCTCCACGAGGAAAGAGTAGACGGCGCGCGACGCTGGCGAGGATGGGCTCGAGCGAGGCTCGACGTGGACGAAGCTGAGCACGGCGTCACGGTGGCGCGATCGTAGCTCCGAGAGGCGAAGCGCGTCCGCGGGGTCGTGGCTCGATGAAGAGGAAGGCGCGGCAGTGTCGAGCGCCGGACCGGGGTGGTCTGGTGGCGTCAGGGATGGCAAGGCCACGACGAGGCTCGGCGTCGGCAGCTCGGCACAGCGTCGGGGTGGAGCAGGCCGTGTCCACGCTCGACGTCGGCGACGGCCAGTCGGAGTTTCGGGTGGCGCGGCTACGCGGGCGCGTCCGCGCGGCGAGGGAGACCGGCAGCGCACGATCCCCGACGCGGCGAGACTCCGCCGCCTCGGTGGTTCTCATCCGCTGGGGACTCGACATCGAGGGATGGAAGAGCAACGGGCTGCGGGGTCCGGCGCTCGAGTGCAGAGGCAGCTGCCATGTGCAGTGTGGCGGCGCCCGGGCCAACTACGCCCTAGCCATGGAGATCGCGCCGGAGGCTGGAGGAGGCGGCCGGCGAGATGGGTCAGGAGCGGTCAGAGCCCCCGCCGCCACCAGGGGAGCGCTGCCATGGGCGAGTCGCTCCGCCCAAGGGTCTCGGCCACGGGCGCGCCCGTGCACTACGGCTCTCCCTTCCTCACGCGCTTCCACTCAGATGCGCAGGGCGCGGCGCCGCCGCCATTGCCGGCCGGGCCGAGCTTGCCGCTGCTAGTTCCTCCACCTCTGCCACGCACGCACCTCTCCTGTGCCTAGCAGCCATCACCATTGCCCTCGCGTCATCTTCTCAGTCCCCTGCTTGCCGTCGCAAAGGCCAGGACCGTCGAGGACTGCCAGGCACTTGCGCCATGGCCGCCGGACGCCTGGCATCTCACGACGCACCCTCCCATCGCCGGTCGTCCTCCACCCCAGCTGGCCTCACCCTCGATCTCCCAGCTCCGCACTGCCGCTCCGCGCCGTTCTTCCCTCTCTTCTTCCCCAATCGTCACAAAGCAGAGAAGGGCGACAGCCGGGCCGATTTCGCTAGGCGGCGCTAGGGCCCGCCAGGCCTTGCGGGTTCGCGCGGGAGCGCTTGGCTGCACCGGCAAGGGCCTGTGGTAGACGAGCCGCGCACACAGGCAGGGGCGCGACGGTTGCTCCGGCAGCAGCTTGTCGGCGGAATCGGTGGCGCGGCGGCGGAACGAGTGGTTGCTTGCCGGCCACGGGAGAGAGAAGAGAGACCTCGTGCTGCAGTGCTTGCCGGCCACAGGAGAGAGAAGAGAGAGCGGAGACCAGGGTATTTTGGACGTTTTCTCTAACCGGACCCACACGTCAGGGTTGTTAAACGGTAAAAGCTAAAAGTAAAATGTCATGACATCCAGATACGTTTGAACTTTTTAGTGAACATCCTTCGTAACGGCACACGGGGAAAAGGCTCATGATTATCGATCTGACGGGTGGAACTAGACCTTACTAGTAGAAGAGAAGAAGCAAGTGTTGGCAAAAAAAAGTATATTTTTGCAATATTCAATGTTATATATAATGGGTCAAGTTTTATTAGCAATTATTATCGGCGTGCAAACTGCAAGTCTCTGAACGGAGATGTCAATGGCCAAACAGTGCAGCAAATAGGCCATGTAATTGGGCCTATCACACCAGGCCTTAATCGGAAAAAATAAATCAGAGATCACTGAAAGTGAAATGCTCTTCCTAAAGGCCTAAATTTCACTAGAGAACTCATTTTTTCTATTAGCACTTCCCGGAGATTAAGACAAGAGATGTTAATGATGTTCAAAAAACAAAAAGATAAGAGATCTTAATTAACGAAGGGGGCTTACTAGCTCCCGGGCGTTTGGACGCCCGCAACGTGGCTACCGCTCAGCCCAACGCATGCTCACTCGTGTGGCCCATGCGGCGCACTCGCCCCTACACACTCGCGGACGTACGACCAAACTGCCAGTGGAACCTACCTACCTCGGCTGTCAACCGGACCCACCAGCGATCAAAGTGGATCGGCAAAAAACGACAACGCACTAATGCCCCTACCTCTGCGACGGGTCCCACGCCGGGTGGCTGTCTCCCACGCGCTCCCTCTGGTTGCCCCCACTCACGGACGCACGTTCGAGAATACATGTCCGTCCTGCTGCTCGCCGCGCCCTACTGCTGCTCTTTTGCGCCTTGCTGCTCGCCCGTGCCATGCTGCGCGCCTGCGTCTGCTCGCCCTATTGCGCCCAGGGATGAAAACGGATCGGATACAAAAGGATATCATTGATATTACATTTGTTTTCATATTTCTATCCGGATTCTGATTCGAATACGGATAGTTTCAACCATGCCGTATAAGATACGATTGGATATCGACATCATAAATATATGATTTGAGTATTCGGATACGGATACGGTATCAGATGTTGAATATCCAGACTCGGATACGGACAGATTTAAACCCCTCTAAACGGATCTGGTCTCGAATACGGTCGGAAAAATATCCGTACCATTTTCACCCATAGTTGCGCCCCTTGCACTCGCCCGCCCTGTGGGGACTGCCTGCGCCTCATGAAACACTTGCAACATGGAGGACTTGCTCCAACATACATCTAAAACAGATGAAATATTTAGAATATATGCTTGCAACATGTGTGTAGCCACTACAACATATGCAACATTCAGATAAAAACACTTGTAACATATGTCTGAAAATAAATGAAACATTTGAAACACACACTTGCAACATATGCAATAGTCAGATAAAAACACCTGCAATATATGTCTGAAAATAACTGAAACATTTAAAACACACACTTGCAACATGCTTATGAAACACTTGAAAAAACACCTAGAAACTGTTGAAAACATTTGCAAACATACGCAACATCTAAATAAACACACTTGCAACGTACGTCTGAAAACACAGATGAAACATTGGTAATAGACCTTTGCAACATACATGTACAACCATTGCAACATATGCAACATTTCGATCTACTTTTGCAACATCGATATAAAACACTTGCAACATACCTGCAAAACACTCGAAACATACGTTTGCAACATGCTATTTCAGCGCAAACATCTTCTTGTTGCTTCGCAAATGGAGGCTCATCGGCGCGTGAAGGTCACCAGTGTGCTCGTCGGTGGCGCGAAGCTCGCCGACAACGCGGAGTTGGGCGACGGCGCACAGGGGTTGGGTGTGGAGCAGTACGAGCACGCGGTGCATGCAGAGGACGAGTGGTTGGCGCGTGGAGGTCACCGGTGTGCTCACCGACGGCACGGAGCTAGGCGGCGCAGCACAGAGGGCTAGGTGGGGGCGGCACGGGCGGCGGTGACGCAAAGGGCGGGTGAGCCGTTGCGCGTGGCGTGTTTCCACCTCTCATACGCCTTCTACCGCAAGGGGCATCTCTAGGCTTATGCAAGCCACCTCTAGGTACCTCCTCGTCTTAACGAGTAGCTAGTTGTGTCGCTTGGGGGAATTAAAGCAGAGTAGAGAAAGTGAAACAGAGCAGAGAAGAACGTTAACGTAGTGGAAGCAGATAAGAAAGCGATGCGTGGATGAGAATAAGACATGGAAATGAGCAGAGAATAAAAAAAAGGCAAAGTTGTGGTGCACGTCACGCCACGCCGCGTGTCCGTCCAGACGGAGTCGTTGGCGTCCAACATCCTGTTTGTAGCATTACCGTTAACGAAGTGATCAGATCACATGATCTCAGTATCAATAGACACATCATCTACTAAAATAAATCTAGGAAAATACCTGTGGCAAGTTAAGATATCATGGAAAAAGATGACTAATGGATATTCGGCGCACATCAATTTTCTTGATCTTGATCATTTTCTTTTTGCTTAAAGGACTCTTAGTTTCCGAAAACAACAAATGACTATAGTATGTGCTTTTCTTTGTGTTGCTCTTGTGAAGGTTAGGAGTTTGAGAAATATATTACCCATTGCAACACACCAACACTCACCAATTTAATAATTAAGAGTGACATTAATTTATGTGCCACAGCCCACAAACTATAGTCATTGGGCTGTGGCACATAAATTAATGTCACTCTTAATTATTAAATTGGTGAGTGTTGGTGTGTTGCAATGGGTAATATATTTCTCAAACTCCTAGCCTTCACAAGAGCAACACAAAGAAAAGCACATACTAGAAAAAAAATATGATGAAGTTGCTCTCAATCAGCCTGTTCGTTGGTTGGTTTCTGGGCTGATAAGGCCGGCTGGTACTGGTTTGTTGTGAGAGGAAAATACTATTGGCTGGCTGATAAGCCCTGGCTGAAACCAACAAGCGAACAAGTTAAATATTTGCTTGTCCTAACTCCGGATGTAATAAATAATGATTACCTATTATAGGTAGAAAATTTGTGCCTCTTGTAAAGAAACAATCATGTTTAAAAAAGCAATCATGCGGCTAGTTGATAAAAGTTGAAATGTTCATATTTGTTATAGGCTGAAACAATATACATGAGTGTTTGCTTAATATAGTTTGCTTCAATTGTAGTTTTATTTGGCATGTTTACTTGACACAAAAGCTCTAGTTGGTAACTTGGTATATGTATATTTATGTTTATTTGAAATTTATTGCCTACCGTAGATAAGTAAGCAACACTAATTAGTTTTTGTATTGACCTCAATCCTTTTCCGATTGGGTTTAGCCTCTCTACCGGCAAGACGGCGATGTGCGTTTTTTATAAGAGTCTGGAGGGGCCGGAGCCCCTACAGTAAAAAAATATTATTGAACGGCAAGTACCAGTACAAGGACAGAACAAAACAAGAATAAGAAGAAAATTAAGAAACAAAAAAGGTAAGGAAAAAAATGCTATCCTTTTTCAAGATTACAACCAGCTTTGGATCCATAGGCGGAAATCTTCAGAACAACTCTCTTTGGCTCTTAGCGAAGTTAAGGTCATTTCTTTGTTGAAAGCATCTTTATTGTCTTGGAGATTTGGACAAATTCCTTTAAAGGTCGGGTTGTTTCGAGCACCCCAAATAGTCCAGCACATAATCACCACAGCATTCGTTACCCATGTTCGATGATTGACGATGACGACATTAGGCATGGCAGCACTTGTCATCAGATGAAACTAAGCAACAAACCATTTATTATATAGGATCATGAGACCATAGCAGGAAGATATGAACAAAATTATACATCAAGGGATTAAGAATAAAATACAAATTAATCAATTACCATTTCTCTAGTGATTTAAAAATCAATCTTTGGCTATTGAGCCTAAGTACTCTTTAACCGAATAAATATATAGATTGAGGCCGTCCACAGTGTATGGCTAGAGTAGTGCTTAAAAAGGAGAGAGGGTGTTTGGGCTTGTCTCCCCACGCTGCAGCATGCGATGCCTGTGCTTGGATTTTCGGGAGCGGACATGTAGAGGAATCGGTACCCCTGTTGCTGTTGCTTCCATGCCTAGGTGCCCACTTGAATAGAAAATTATTTGGGCCTTATTTAGATTATAATTTTTTACAATCTGGACACTGTAGTACGTTTCGTTTGTATTTGACAAACTTTGTCGATCATGGGTATTTAACAAACTTTGTCGATCATGGACTAACTAGGCTCAAAAGATTCGTCTCGTAATTTACAACCAAACTGTGTAATTAGTTATTTTTTTTATCTATATTTAATGCTCCATACATATATCCAAAAATTAATATGATAAAGAAAAAGTGAAAAAACTTGAAATTTTGAAACAATCTAAACAAGGCCTTGCTTGCCGCATGCAGTTGCTTCCATGCCTGCTGACACCAACGCCGCACATACTTGCTCTCTTTTTTTATTTGCATGCTAGGTCCCACGAGGGGTGCTCGCCACTGCAACTCAAAGAGACAACCCAGTTCTTTTGGGCTTCACTGCACACTGGTGAAGACTAAATTGTCTCCAACGAGGTACCTAGACACCTAAACCCAAAACGGATAGTAAAATATTCAAAATTAACCTTCAACAGAGTACTTATACAGGAGACCTATTTTAAGTTGTCTAAGAGGCACAACCCAAATATAAGCATCCTCTCTCTCGAGAAACCCATTTGCAGAAAGGATTATCTACAGAGTCTTATTGTTGGAGAAGATGCCGAATATGTATCGAACCTTTTGTCTATAACGCTACC